GAACCGGTGACCTTATGGTTGCAAAGCAAACGTGCAGACCACTCGGCCACCGGTCGACTAGTCATGTGCTGCAACTCATCAGCGCTAAGTGGAAAACACGCAGTTGTCAACAAACCGCAACATACGGATAGCTGTCCCACAGACAAGGATTCCCGCACCGAAACGATGGATGTTCAGCAACCCAACCTCAATAAGGTGTTGCACACGAACACCGTAAGCACAAGGCGCATCCAACGCATACGACATCCTGGCACGAAAGTAAACATTAAACACGGCAGTAGCTAAGACACAGGTTTGCTTCATACCAGAAACAACTGCAAAGTCATCTGAGGCATCTCCATGCGTGTGTACCCTTGCCTGCATATCACTGTGCAAGCACTCAAGCAATGTTGCATACTTAGGTGGATAACCAAAACTACCCAACACCAACTACAATGCCTCGCGGTCCACCGTATTAAATGCATTGGTGAAATCTACAAAGAGCGAGCACAACAGCTGATGCCATTCTCTACATTTCTCCTACAACTGAACTGCCGCGAACTCCATATCTATAGTGCTGCGACCCGAGCGGAATCCACACTGCTCTTCCGCCACGTTCGGTTCCACAACCTGACTAAAGTGGAGGCTGAGCAAGATTCGGGCAATCACCTTGCCCACACAACTCAGCATGTTGATACCACGATCGTTCTTAGCACATTGCTCGTTTCCTTTTCCCTCGTACACTGGTATCACAAGGGCATCCTTCAGCTCCAGAAGCACCTCTTCCCCAATCCACACACCTTGCACCAAGTGGTGCAACGCAGTCAACAACGCGGGTCCGCCGTGTTTCAATACTTCAGGCGGGATCCCGTCGACCGCAGCACACTTGACGTTTCGCAGCTGAGCAAATGCTCTCTGCGCCTCATCCACTGTCAGTGTGTTTGCCAAACTCATCTCCACCTCCTGCTGTTTCAGGCCGTTCAATGTAGGTTTGCCAATAACTGGATGGTTGTTCAAGAGACAACCAGTTATTTTGTAAGATTTGCATTATGTCTGCAGTCTGGGTGCAGGTAGCGCCTGAACTACCATCGATCAGCATCCTCTGCGGCTCCAACCTCGGTCCATACACCGCCTTCTAAGAGTCAAAGAGTTCCCTGTACCGACAGCGTTCGTAAATAAATTCCATCTGCTTCGCTTTCTCTGTCCACCATGCATTTTTCTGGGACGGAGCTCTCGAGTCAGTCTCCGAGGATGTTTGCGAAACTGACTCTTCTTCGCCAAGCCACTGGGGTTTGCCACACGTGCAGCAAATTTCGCATTCTTCTCAGACACTACCGCCACAGTAAATTTTTTATTCGCAGTATCCAAATAGTGCATGCTAACCGGATTTTTGCAGTGGTTCTTCAAGGGTAAAAGCATAGTGCGATGGTCGACTACATGACTGAGTCGATACTTATGGGATGGTGCGGGTTGTGAGAGAAACCTCAAGAGATGGTGCGAGCTTAATACCGCAGTTACCAGCTCGATAAATGTTGGCATTTGTGCACAAGAAGAAGGGAAGGAGAGAAGAAGCAATAGGCGCACCATGAATAGGAGGATCTAGTACGCTTGTACGAATTGGGATAGCCCTGACCTTGGGAGAAGTGGTCGAACAATTTGTCAATTTGTTGGGTAGATAGGCTCTTTGGTGTGCGCCTGACATCTTTTGCAAGGTTGCCGAAGACTGTTTTCGCTGATAACTCTGAATGAAGCCATTTTTGCATGCATCCCTTGTGATCCAACAGCTTTTGCCGTAACCTCTGACAGGCAGGACTTAAAGGGTGGTTGGCCATTAGTTTTACTACCCATCTGAGAAGCAAACGGCGTGCTGTATTGTAGCGCTTGAGAAGGTACCAGTAGCCTATTTTTCATACATGTATATCCGCTAGTGATATTAGTGTTTATAAATATGGCACTAACAGGCTAATTGTCTCTACACTTTCCACACAGTGACTGGGAAAACTTTGTGGAGCCCGAACTTCCACTGTTATTGGGGACATATTTAATATGCTTTTGAGGACTATTTGAAGAGATGTTACCCAAAGGTTAAACTGGGTCACTGTCAAAACTTATTGCCTAGTCCTGGAGAAGCTGTTTTGGACGGAGTAAATGGTGCCGATTTTATAGGCGCAACACCCACGCTAGGTGCTGCATATGAGTGCCTACTGCCAAGGTCACTTCCGGCATCCAGGCTTACGTCGCGGTGAATGTTTACAGGAGTTTGTTCTTTCGGGTCTACCAGAGACCGTCTACTTCGAATCACTTCGCTGTAGAGTAGTGTCTCGTCGTGTTTGAATAACCCCTTCGAAACCGGGTCTTGCGGCTATAAGACTTTGAGCGTGGATGACCTTTTCTACATTTGTTTCGTGAGAAAGCTTGAACATGATCGGGCAGTAATGTTTCGGCGAGTTCTTTAATCGAAAGTATGTACAACGTATGAACCGTAGGTTGCTGACATCAAGGACTATCTTTCCTGCGGTTTCGATTTTGAGCTTATCCAGTACATCGAAAGCGACTAGTTTCTTACGACGGCATATACGTTCACAAGATTCTGACGCAACTGCAGAGATGAATTATGAAGCTGGCGGTTGAACTGTTCGCTGAGCTGGCAATTTGTTGCAAACGTTTCGTCACCAATCGAGGTGACATCATCAGTGCGTAGTGGAGTGGTGTGCAGTAGCGTAGAGGAGCCTCGGTGAGAGTGCCTTGTGCAAGTATTCTAGTTTGGGTTTCTCAGGCATACAACTCAAATAAGAGTAGGGAAATAGCAGATTACAGAAGTCACCCATTGCGGAGAGCTTTTTAGTGATTGATTCGACGTCTTTCAAGCCCATCTATCCTGTTGTGTACTACTGTAAGACTGTTGGCAGTAGAAGCTAAACGATCTTCGCAAATGTTGTTTCCTTGGGTTTACGCAGGTTTACAACTGTTTTGGAAACCCTTAAATATTCGCACCTTGGTAGCGGCGCATTTGTGATCGAGTCATTCTGCATGAACGTTGGCGATGTCAGGGAAAAGGCAGCAGGTTGATCTATCTCTACCAATTTACTAGAGTCCCTTAAAGTTCTCCGGTTTTGTAACACTGTTGGTGGCTGAACCTTTGTTCTTTGCGGCTAGCATTAGAAGTCATCGACAGTGGGACACAAATTTAGCAGATAAGCAAATGGAGTCGATAACAATCGTAAGCAACAGAGGGGTTGGTGAGGCCTTAATAGGAAAACTATTCGAGGTAAGCTTTTCACCAGTACGCACCAGCTTGGCAGGGAAGAAGCAAGTAATGTGATTTACAAGATTCACCGCAAATTTTGTAACAAATGCTACGTGGGCCATTAGGAAGGAAGCATGGCACTAGGCTACACGAGCATAGCCTAACCACCCGACGACATGACTAGAACTCCCCGATGTCGGTACATATGGACGCCAAGAATCATCAGTGTGACTTGGAGAATGATAGGATCATAGGCAGGACGAAAAGCGTGCGAGTTCCTCCAGGCCAGAAATCAATAAACAGACACTTATAGCTAGATACTGCGTATGAAAGCCTAAAAGTCGAACCAATAATTCGCCTCAAATCAACAAGGCAAAGAAACGTCAAGGAGGCGGACTCTAGCCAACGGAACGTAAGAGCTAAATACACGGTCAATTCACGTTGACCCATGGACTCCTGACGTTCGAATGAGCAACTGATCAATAAGCACTTGGAACTGGAAGTTGCTCGCATAAATCGCACTGATGATGTCGCCTAGCATGACGATGTAATGTCTGCAGCTAAATCATTCAGCTCGAACACTCAAATGCCCTCATCCCAAATTAAATATTCCCACGAATTTTCATTAGAGATGTATATTTTCCCTTCATGGGTGCTTAAAGGAGACTGTACTTGACTTGATTGCCCATTGTAATTGTCAACCAACTTGAAAAGCAACCCATGCTATCCGTGGAACACGCACTAAGACTGTCGTATTAGTATCCGCATAAAAATCTTAGTACGCAAATTAGTACGTAGCCCATCGCTATCACTTGATGCCGGGAAGCTTCGTGCGCTGCGGTCGTCGCATCACTGACGTTAGCCGTTTTATCATACGCAATAGTGAAGCACCGGCTCAAGCGCCACCCGTTTTTCGCATGTTGGTCCGAACGCGCAATGTGCCCATCACACGCAATTGCTTGCACGGACAAGGGTCTGGTAAGATTAGAGGTAAGGACACTGATTACCGGCTGTGGTGAAATGCGAACAGATATCAGCTCTTTTCGCCAACACATTTTGTTAGAGAGATAAGGTGGGGCATGCGCCAACCCTTGTCTTACAGTGATCCAACTCCATCCTATCAACCAACTGCTGACCTAAGGCGTCACCAGTCTCCCCCTGTCTTGCAAACCGTCATCGCTAAGGTGATACATTGTTCTCAGACGAGTGCGGTCAGCTCCCGTTTGCCCGGTTAGTGTCTATATTTGCCTCTATACTTACCTCCGACATCCTATTGGCTAACGGTGCCTGACCAATGAGACGGTGCGCGCCACAGCAACGGCTGACGCATGAATGGACCAACTTGTAAGAGTAACAGATGAAGTTGAAATCTCTACGGCCTACAGTGATAGCGCTATGATTTAACTTGCTTGTGAAATGGTACAGAGGTACCGGGGCAAGGAGGTATGGGCTAACACCGGTGAAGGCGCTTGGGGAATGGAGGATGCGGTGTAGAGAGGAACCGAAAATTGGTCGGTGGGCTAATTGACATTGAACCGGTGCTTACATCGCGCTCCCATTTGCCTTGCAGAAATCAGGTCGTACGTTGCCACGGAAAAGGAAGAAAAGGAAGGCAGACTGTAACGTCTATTCTTCTCTTCTTATAAAGATATCTTATCATTTGTAGTTGCTGTGTCACGCGACATACGTTACTATCCCAACTCCGGAGATCTCACTGGCTTGCGCGTTATAACACAATAACCGAACACGATATGTCAATGGGGAATACATTCTACAACATTATTTATGTGCGTGCGTCATTCGCAGGCATTCTGACATTCACAGTCATTGATAAAAATAGTGCGAACTGGTGACAAAAGTGGATATGAGACCGCTGACTTATAATGTTTAGCGGTATACAGAGGTCCGTGCATTTATGAAAATGAAAGCAAAAGTGGAACCATAAGGAGTCATCGAACAGGAGGTAGTAGAATGAGGTAGGTATAACCAAAAAATATGTATTCACTGAGCAAACAACAGACAAGTATGCAGATGTATCACGCAGCCCAACTGGGTGTAGAGACTAAGTAGTGCAACTAACGGCATAGAATGTCCTTCCACTCAAACTGAGTAGGCGCTGCGACGAAACACGATCCAAACGAGTGCTGTCTGAGGCCTGCAGCTGCAAACTTACGGAACGTTGCCACCCGAAAGCGCACTTGACCTGTGAGAAAATGCGAAAGAATTGTTTCTAAGGAGAGGCAATCATTTGCAAGAGATACAACTGTCAGCTTGACACACAGGTAAGATTAATTACATTGCATATTATAAATTACGAGTGCAAACAGTGAAATTATTGAGGGGGGAAATAGAAATATCAGTCATTATTCATCGAAAAATTCCTCAGTATAAAAATACTTCCTCTGTGATCTGGCGATCTCCTCACATATGGTGATGCTGTTTTCCTTAATAACCACTAATACCACAATTCACGATATGTGGTCCTATGATGATGATGATGATGATGAGATTTACCGAAAAGAATTCTTTACCCTGAAATGATTTCTGATATTTTCTACTCTGAAGGCGCCAATGGCTGTGGCACACGTGACATACGTGCACAAAGGATAGCTAATGTTTTTGTTCGTTATCTATTTGTTCGCCATTTGAACTCGCATAATTTCTTCCGTTTCTCATTAGGCGATTTGCCTTGATTTGTTATCACGCTTTCCCCCTTAATTTTCCCGTACTCTACTCGAGGCGCATTTTCCTAAGTTAGGTTTACCCGCTGAAAAACCATTTCTAAATCCAACCTCAATGCTTTTGTTACGAGGTCGGAAGAAATTTTCATTAATATGCCTCTTTATCTACCAAACAAGAAGCTGAGAGTGAGGCTTTAACCTGCATAATCTTGTTGCCTTGCATGTATTTTAATGATCTGATTCGGAAATTTTCCCTGTCGTGTATTACTTCAATTGCCATGTAAAACTATTCCATTCATTCGCAGCAGTTATCCACAAATCCCCTATATCTTGCCTATCTCAATCGAGGATTAATGAATGGACAAGTTTCTGTACGAATTAAGAAAAAATGAAAGTCGCCATGTGGTCCACTATACGGGCTTGAATCTATTAAACCAGCGGCAATTACAAGCAAAATGGGTCAGTGTGGCCTTATAAGAGGCTGCTGTCGATAGGCGTTCAGTGGGTGGTGCGAGAAGGTAGCTGCAGAAGGTATGACTACAGTAGCATTGCGGCTGCTGTTAATTAAGCTGAGAACTATGGAAGTAGGGTCGAGGGAAGTAAGAGAGAGAGAGAGTAAGGGAAATAAGGGAGGCGCCAACAGTTGTACGTGAACTGAGATACTGCCAGGGCGCTCAGACCTAGATATAAGGAAGATTAGAGAACTCAATCAAAGCCTTTGGTTTAAAAGCCTGCCTACGAGGCAGTGGGGTGGCAAAGATTCAGTGTTACAGAGACGGAAGCCGGCATGTTTGAAAACCATAACCAGGAGGACCTGGAGACTGTGTTTGTCTGACCTCTAACCATTGACTAACCTAGTAGGAGTAGCTCTCAAAGGGCCAGGGGGCCTCACCCAGTATAGCTCAATAGGTCGAAGATGTACGTAAACCATCGCCATACGTTAAGGTCCAATTTCGCTGTGACTGAAAGTGCAATTACTAATGTCTTGTGGATTCGTCCTAGCGTCTCGTTAGAATGCACTAAATCGTAAAGGTGTAAACAGCGACGAATACATCAAAAGAATCCATATTCAAAGCGTGGAGTGAACGATATCTAGCTAGCCTCCGACTGGTTTTTTAGTTATTCCGACACATAACCAAATGAAAACCTGTTGGAAAAGCGGGCACTTGTGCGCATCGTGTAGAATAAAAGGCTTTAGGATGGTTGCACCGTGGGGAAAATCCTGGGTTTGATAACATAACGGATGAAAGCGGAGCATTTGTAACAATACTTGGTGACAACTTGGCCAGCAAGTTGTCTACTGCAACGAAAAGTGTGAAAGTAAAGTTCAGAGAAATAGATGGGAGGAGGATGCGCGTCGTAGACCACATGCAGGTTAATGTATAAAATTATTAATTTATTTAACTATGTGGATTAATCCGTTTTAATCGCATCAGTCCCCCTATATACACAAAACGAAAACAGTGTATCGCGTCAGAAATTCGAAAAAATAGGCATCAGGATGATGTTTGTCATTAGTGTTCATTGAAAAGATAACGCTTGTGACAAATACCTTGCGCAAAAGATCATCACTGTCGATGACCAACTGGTCGCTCGTCGAATCCGCTAACAGGACCTTGCACTGTTGACCAGTCCGTTGGCAAACAACCAGAACATGGGCGTCCGAGGAGCCTTCAAGAAGAGTAGCACATGGAATAACAGTTGTGGCCGAAAAAGTGGATGCAGAGGAGTCTCCAAGGGCTGCGTTTACCCGAGAGAATAAGATAAGCTCAAAGTTATCCGGAGGGATCTAACAGGAAACGAGACAAAAGATTGGAATCAGGCTCGACACAATCACCATCACAGGAGGAAGCTGAAAACCAGACCAGCAGTTCGGCTTAGTGATCGCAGCGTTTCACCTCGATTATAGAATAGCTCGAACATAAAACGCCTAAGATTCTCAATCAGACCAAAACACAAGCTATCCAAAAAGATATGCACCATAAAGGAATTAACCAAAGCGTAGGCAAAGTGCGGCGAAAGGGCAAGCGGATAAAATGAAGGGCGCGCATTTGCAATTTGTATGAACGATAAATGGGGAACGCGATAAACAGGCTAATGATGAATGAAGACAAGTCGGGAAGACGAGAAAAGACAATCGTGTCGTCAACCAGACACGTAAACAAATGTAAGCATTGACAAGTGGGCGAATGTAATCTTCAGTGAGTATAGGCGACAAAAACAGGTGAAAATGAAATGATTAGAGAAGCGTGATCGCAAGGCAGTAGTGCAGTCGCGCGAAAGCATAGTATTTCAGATCGCGAGTTGGCTCAAAGAGCGATAGCAATGCAACCCAGAAACCAGATAAAAAGATACTCTCCGTCGTATGCCGTCAAATGATGGTGGTGGAAGCCCATAGGCTAAAAACGTTTATCACAGCTGAGTGCGTGTTTCTACGGCTATCGATATGCTGCCAGTGGAGTGTGTGACGCTGCGGCGACATTACATGTAACCCCGAAATATGATTGAAGACGTAAGCCGGAAAACCTATATAAATATATATATATATATATATATATATATATATATATATATATATATATATATATATATATATATATATATATATATATATATATATATATATATATATAGAACGCCTGTGCATACAGAGGGGCAATGGATAGCTTGCGCTGCACCACCTACACACCACCACATCCAATGTGAACCCAAAGAAATAAGACCGGGAGGAAGGTGGATGGAAGCCAAGTCCCACCAACGGAGTCGTCCCACACTCCTTCAACATGCATAGCAGCAACATTCCAGTCAGACAATTAGGGGTGCATGCGTAGCGGACGTACACAAGGCGGAAGCTAGGCCGTAGCCAGATCGCAGAGAATTTGAACCAATCTTTGAGCCTAGCAAAGTCACGAGGACCGTGCACCCCGTCCGCCCCAGCAACGTTTCACAGTCTTCAGTCAGGATATAAGGAGTCAGGATATAAGGAGAAAAACAATAGACAGATAGGCACCTTATCAACAAGCACATCAAGCGCAGCCACAACGGGGATATCAATTACCAGGCAACACCTGAAATGCAAGAAACACACACAGGCATACGTAAAGACCAACTGCAAGGATGATGTAGCACATGTACCCGATCAAGCGACCTATCAGCATGGATTAGTAAATCGAATGGAAGAGTACACAGCGTACTTACGAACACTGCGCTGTTGCTGATTAGATAGGCAGCTAATTGTTCGCCTTTTGGATGCTGGTCTCGTCTGGCTACGCTGGTGGCTTACCAGGGCTACTCGAGCAGGTACTCGAGATCACATGTGTTACGCATCATGTGCCTGACGTCGATGAACTAGGCGACATCGGTACCTGTCGCTTGCGCAATCCGCATCTTTTATCGTGATGCATATGAGAAACAGCATTCTTGATTGGATCACGCCATGGGCGTCAATTACTGCCATTTGCTCCTAAGGCTAACTTAAACGAAACCAACCAGCATTTCGCGACAATCTGTGTCAAATGCTCACGGGGAATCAACGAACAGCGGATACAACGGCTGGTTCCGTTCACGGTGCTTGTCAAGCAGTTGACGAGTCACGAGCACCATTTCTATAGTTCTGAGTGCAAACGGAATCCGTCCTGCTTTCTGACTGCGTTTTGTTCAAAGACCTGAAAGACGAGGATGTTGAACAGAATCCCAGCGAGCAGCTTCCCGACGCAGATCAGCAAGCTGTTGACATGATAACCGTCAGCACATTGCTTGCTCTGAACAGTGGTAGCACAAAGGCATTCTTCAGCACAACTGACACTTATTCTTAAAGCAAATGCGTTCAGAAAAATTAATGAAGCGCATTGGTCAGCACTGTTGGTGGTATTCCGTCAGCTCCAGTGCAATTGTCATTTCTCAGCTGAGCAAGTGTTCTTAGTTTCATGGGGTGTCGGCAAGACCGCCCTTCACCTCCTGTTTTTGCAGTCCGTACAAGTTAGCCCAGACAATCTCTGAAGGATAGTTCAAGGTACAGATAAAGTGACTGTGCCTTGCCTGCAATTTGTGTGCAAGCAGTAACCGAAGTAGCGTCCTAATAGGCTGTAACGTCAGTCCATACGTTGCCTCCAATTTGGCGCAGAAATCCATCTGCCCCGCCTTCTCTGCACACCATGAATTCTCGATGCCAGGGAGCACTTGAATCAATCACGGAGGCTACTTAAGAAAGTTATCTTCTACATATGTATAAAAGCGCCATTCTTTTTAGACACCAATGCGTCAGTGGTCGCACTGTTGTCATCGAACCAATCAGGATGCTTCGTTTGCGCGTACAGTCGTTTTGTCAGCATAGGGCGTTGAATGAATGCCTGCAGTCGACGTCGCCATGGCGAGAAGTAACCGCGTTCTCCAATGCACTCTTTTTCTCGACATTACCTAGAGGACGAAAAGGAAATATTCGCTGATTCACGGCAGAGGAACGATTTACGAAAATATACAATATGGTACGCACCAACTTGTGATCGATATCACAATGAACTATATGCAGTACACTTGGCATGCGCACTATCCGCATGTCACAACGGCGTATAATGACGTAATCGGACAGGTAAGCGTGAACACTTTGTGGGTGCGTTCAGTTGAAACTGCGTGTTTGTGATGCTCAGACCAAAGGCGACACACAGTGATAGCAGGTGGTTACCGTACCTATAAGCTAAGTCAATAACATACGGCCAGATTAATTCCGCCCAGTCCGAGGCATTACGTCCAACGCGCGCGTTGAAAATATTCAGTAAGAATAGTCAATCCCCCCTCGACACGGAAGATAATTGGTCCATTGTGTCATTAGGATAACACATGGTGGAACCATAGGTGCTAATAAATTTCGCAAATATACAACCTCTAAGTTGTAGGCGAAGAAAACTGAATATGAGAGTGAGAAGATAAAAATATGTGTTGCCCCATCGTAGGTGGATCGGACACATGCACCGAATCACGTCGCTGATTCCTGCGCGGTGGCAGCATATTGCAGCTGCACTACATCTTATCCGGGTGCGATACGCTCCCTAACTTGTAGTCCGCAAAGTGGGAATCAAGGAATCTCTCAAATTCCGAGACCGATTTCGCTTCGATTAGCGTCTCCGACAATTCGTTCCAATATTTCACCAGTCGATGCTCGAAGCACAGAGGGGGAGAAAAGTGCTTTAAATCCGGTACCACTAGTTTGTACCAGTGTCCCCGTGTGCTACTTGCTGCGCGAACGTGCAGCAGCGGTCTCAACATAGGTAAATGGCCCAGACGCAGTATCCGGTGCGTCATAATGAGATCAACGCGAAGCCGACAATATGACAGGATAACAAGTCTCCTACACCGGTCCTCGTACGACATAACCCGTAAACTGGGAATGAGCCGGGTAGCTAAATGCTGGACCCGCCCCAGTCTCTGCACCTCACCTATTGTAATCGGACAGTGGGCGAGCCGTACTCAAGCACCGGTTTTATCATGTAAGAGAATAGACGGGTGGCAATCTCTTCAGACCAAGTGCAGAAGCTGCGTCTAAGTGCCCAAAGCAGGCGTAGTCCGTTTGTGTACAGTCTGTTCTTGTTATCGACAGACTATAGATCACAGTGTGAGAGTAGCCTAGATCCTTTACGGAACAGGAGAGATGCAGCGGGTGGCCGGCCAGGGTGTACGCACGCCCATTAACGCCCCACCTCATGCTCACAAACGAGGAATTGACCGGTAGGTCGATTTCAGCAGACCAGCGGGATAGACGGTTGAGGTCCTGTAGAAAGACGTCACAGTCACCAGGAGAATCAATAATCCTACAAATGTTTGGGCCATCTGCAAATCATAGCAGGGCGACAGAAGAAACTGAGGTACTTCGTTGTTGTGGATCAGGAACAAGATGCGCCCCAGCACTGTGCCTTGGGGTACGCCGTTATTGGACAGGTACCATTCCGTCAGGTGTTCATCCGCGTGAACCTACTATCTTCTTCCAATAAGGAAGTCACTGATCCATTAGTGCAGTGCGCCACCAACACCACACATCCTCAGCTTGTGGAGCAGGACCTCATGATTCACTTCATCGGAAGCATTACTGTAATCAATGTAGATAACATCCACCGACTTCGCCCGGTTCAACGTTTGCAACCATTCCTGCCGAGTCAATAGATCGGTGATGCACGAGTGGTCCTTCATGAAGCCGTTCTGTGCCCGCGTTAGGAGACCTTTCGACCCCAGTAGCTGGAGAACACCCATTTTCACAACCTTCTCAAGCACTTTTGCCAGAGGTGAGACAAATCGGCCGGTAATTGTCAATATTGCGTGGGTCACCACCTTTTGGAATCAGCTTCACAACCGAGCATTTCCAGTTGCTCGGCAATGCACACTCGGACAGCGATCTGTTGAACAGATCCGTCAGGACGGACGAGATGATGGCCGATAAAGACTTTAAAATTAGCGAGTGAAGTCCATCGGGTCTGGCAGTTTTCGTACCGTCAAGACTGGCGAATAGACTGCGGACATCTACACCGCAATCCAGACCCTCGAGGTCAGTAGGGCCTGCATACGTCGAGTTGAGTATAGGCGCAGGCCAACTTGTAAATACGGAAGCGAACTGCTTAGCCGATACAGACGCACGTCCATCAGTGCCCTCTAACACAGCTACGTCATACTTGCGGGCCTCAGGCGCCGCTTCATGTACGCAAAAATCCGCTTATATTGCCGTCTTCTCTGAAGTTGCAAGCTCCTCTTCGAAGTGCCGAAGCTTTCGCGACGTTGTACAGATTCTGCTACCTTTAGTACACC